CCTCCTAGTTATGATCAATTTATATTGAGGGTACCAGATTGGCTCTGATACCAAATTAATGAGGATATTAGATGTAGAAGAGTTTTTAGAGAAATAATTCAAGACGGAACAGATATTAGATAATTAATGCAATAAAACCAGAAACTGAAGAAGAAGATGCAGTTGCCACCCTAATTTATACTATTATTCAACACTTCATAGGAGATCCTAATATTTTTAAAGATAGAGCTGCTAGTCAATTAGCAAATCTTTATTGCCCAACAATGTCAGATTATCGTTGGTATAGAGATACATTTATGTCAAAAATTACTTGGTATCAAGATATGTCTAAATCATATCTCAATAACCTATTACTAATCTCAATATTTAGAATAATAGGTAAGCAATTAGTAAACTAAGATGTAGAGATGGTAGCACTTCACATTACATGAAACTAAAATTGAGCACAACCAATAAGGTGAAATGATTCTATGTTCACATAATTCAGTAAAAAATTCAAATCATATAAAAAAATTACATACTATAAATGGTATAGCTTGCAATTTTGAGACCATTAACTGTAACCTATCTTAATATGTCAAGTCGACAGTGAAGGACAGAACATGACAACTTTCACAGTACCATAACCATTGTTGAAACATAACCATTGTTGTGTCTCTAACAGAAACAATTATAAAAATTCAATTATAATAACTCATTACTATTGTCCAACATATTATATTCATATGTTCTCATGTAGTAAAACTCTAACAGTAATAATTATAAAAACTGAATGATAAAAAGGTTATAAATACCTTGAGTAAATCAGAAACCTTCTCAGCAATATATTTTTGTTCAATATTGACTCCCTCCTATGTTAGACGAGGCAGACAAGAGGCAAGTAGTATAAAATAACAATGAACTATATTAATATCAACCAGCTATTAGAAAATAGCAATTAAGAAATAAGATATTTTGGTCTATGATCATGATCATGTACATACAGCACACACGCTAACACTTTACATTTTGAATGTTCGGTGAGTTGATGAATATTGATTTGTTCATAGTATGAGAACTCGTGCAAAACAAAAAGAAGAGACCATAATCAATTATAATTACTTCGACTTAGCCATAATCAAATATGATGTGGAGGTAGTATAAAGATTTAGTTTCAATAAAACAGCGGAATGCACTTTAGAGAATAAACGGTAGTAAAATTATATATATATTATAAATATAATTTTTAGGCCAACAAGAATAAGTCCTACCAGTTTTGTCAAATGGAGCAAAGCCATCAGCACACAACCCTAATCGAACATTTCGAGGCTCTTGAGCAAAATCAGGCCATGTTTCATCAAAGTGTCTCCAAGCTTCTGCATCTGAGGGATGAGACAAAGAACTAGGTTCTCTTTGATGAGTATGATGCCATTTCATTTCATGAGCTGTTTGCATTGAAGAATACAATCGTTTCAACCTAGGAACAAGCGGGAAGTACCACATACTTTTAAGTGGCACTACTTTGTCCTTACCTCGTCTTGTAAAACGTTTATATCGCTGCCTTTGACAAACTTTACAATTTTGGAGCATCTCATTTTCCTTGTAGTACAACATACATCCACTTGGACAACAATCAATTTTCATACTTCCTAACCCCAATTTAGCAACTGTTTTCTTTGCTTGGTAAATATTTTTAAGCAAACGATTGTCATCTGGCATTATATCCCCCATAAATTGCATCCATTCATTAAGACATCCTTCAAATAAACCATAGTCTGTTTTCAAAGTTAAAGCTCTTAAAGAAGCAGACAAAATAGAATATTTATCACAACCATCCCATAAAGGAGATTGTGCATCCTTTAACATTTGAAAGAATTTTTGTGCCTCTACATTTGGATCTTCCATCATTATGTTGTTGTTGTCATCATCATGTTGGTCAAGGTGGGTGCCAATTTCTGGTCCAGCAACATCCATGACCAATTGTTCATAATTATCAAACATTTCCCTAGGCCCATTACTAGCATAGTATGATTGATCTGCAACCATAGGAGGAATTGGGGGTATTGGTTCACCATGATTTGTCCAATGATAATAGTTAGCCATGAATCCTTTCTTGCAAAGATGCACCCTTACTAAGTTAGGTGTTTCATATCTCCTACACTTACATTTCTTACAAGGGCACCTAATCTTCCCTTGTCCAATATCATGTTCATCGTGTTCCAAAGCAAAATTCACAAATTCATTAATTCCGACAATAAATTCTTCTGTGATACTTCTATGACAATCCACTCTATTATCCATCCACCTTCTATTTTCAGGAATATTCATTTCTGATGCATATAATAAGACAAAATTAATTATTATAACAATTTTAATCTATTTTCTCCTGTGACACTCCTATGAGCATTAAATGAATTTTGTATATATATATATATATATAGAGAGAGAGAGAGAGAGAGAAAAACAACGAGAAAGGAGATAGAGACAATGAGGGGTTCACTTCAACAATAACACTTAGTGGAGTTACTCCACTCAATAATAACCCATACATTAGTCGTTTACATAGAGGCATAGTATATATATATATATATATAAACCATACTTGTAGTAGAATAAACAAAAACAATTATCCTTACAATTATACTTACTCAAAAACTTGTTTTTGAAAATCCTAACTCATTTTTTTTATATTTTTAAAATATACGAAGACACAATATGGTTTTTACAAGTATAAAATAATGGTTGTTGGAACCTAAGAGATAGCAAAAGTGGGTACAGTTATGAAAAACATAAAAGTAATGGGTGCATCGTGCAGGGATCCAAAATATAAATAAAAATAATGGGCTTATGTTATGGACCAAAAAATAAAATAGGGGGTGTGAGAATCAAAACCATAGAACAGTGATGTGTCATGTGTGGGGACAAAAGCATATAAAGATAGTGGACACAAAAATATGAAACATAAAATAGTGGATACAATGATCCAACAAAAAATCGTGAATGTCAAACCCAAAACATAGAACCGTAGGCGCAGAGACACAAAATCATAGAGGATACAAAACACATAAACCAAAAGAATATTAAAAAAAATGAGTGCAACAACAAAAAAATATCAAATATATAACAGAAACAATTATAAAAACTCAATTATAATAACTCATTACTATTGTCCAACATATTATATTCATATGTTCTCATATAGTAAAACTCTAACAGTAATAATTATAAAAACTCAATGATAAAAAGGTTATAAATACCTTGAGTAAATCAGAAACCTTCTCAGCAATATATTTTTGTTCAATATTGACTCCCTCCTATGTTACTTATCAACATGAATGCACAGTATAACTTCATCAACACATTACACCTGAAAGTAAAACTTAATAAATTCTAGGAACAATATATATAAATTATTGCAAGTATATATAAATAGACGAGGCAGACGAGAGGCAAGTAGTATAAAACAAAAATGAACCATATTAATATCAACTAGCTAATAGAAAATAGCAATTAAGAAATAAGATATTTTGGTCTATGATCATGGTCTTTTCACTAACTCTTGTGAAAAAAATTAGCATGATTTGATAACCTTGATTCATGTACATACAGCACACATGCTAACAGGGGCAATAAACTAAAACAAAATTGTATCATATATAATTACAACAACATAAGACTGTTCTCACTCAATTTAGTTCTATAAAAGCTCTTACGTATGATAAATGATGTTGGCATTGGCAGTAGTGATCATAATGTAAAGCTTGTATGTAGGCTCAACTGCACCTATAGATAAAATTTAAATTTTTTGAAAATAATAATAATAATAATAATAATGGTTTGTGTTTAAAATGCCCAAAGGACCAAAAAAAGAACAATAATGACTACTTAAGTACAATAAACGAGCCAATTTTACGTTGTTATCAATGTATTATATTTGTACTTAATTAATTATGTTAGATCATCACCTGATAATTAAGAAGATTAAATTTGTAAATTTTTTAATATGATAAAATATGTAAATTTAAAAGTTTAGTGATAATACTCGTAAAACCATAAAATATAATAATTAAGATAGAAAGAAATAGTAGAAAGCAAACTATCCTTGCAATTGTGGTGGGTAATATTTATCACCATTGACCCATCATAATTTGTCACTTGTTAATTACTGTATGAGTACAAACTATAAAAGGAACCTTTACATCAACCAACCAACCAAACGAGAATTATATAAATTATAAAGTAGAAACTGAGGAGGCTACCTTTAATTGAAGTCATGTAATAAGAAAGGAACTTAGTAGGGAATGCACCAATAGCAGGTCATCACCGGTAGCTAACTCTCAAAAATCAAACCAGAATTGCAAGCTACGCCAACAAACCAAACATCACCCTCTGTTTTTACAATTAACACACAACCATGTCATCCTATTCAAAAGAGACAGTAACGCTTACATTCAAAATACCGATGATCTTAACTGATAAATAAACAATTCACAAGATAATACTTTTACAATAACACATGCCTGTGCCAAAGGTGATACTCGAGGACTGATCCCTCCTTCACGCTCCATCTGTGCTAATGTACAAGCTATTCTGAGCTCCCTGGTAACAACACAAATATCATTAAAATCCTCCATCCATTTGTGTTCCAAAGAAATTTCAAGAAATAAAAATAGAATGTCACTTTAATGTTTCTCCCCTAAGAATAGCTGCTAAAAATAATCCATCAGGCTTCAATGCTAATCTAGACTGCAAAAAATTATAAAAAATAAAAAATCAAATAATAATAAATGATATTAAAACTGACATTTAGATAAGGATAAAGACAGGTAATTTGCACATAAAAGTTTTCTCCGTATTGACAAAAGCAAATGCTCAAACATTAATGAGAATTATAACTCAGTTATAAGCCAAATTATCCATAAATTACAATCAGGTCCTTCCCAACTATAAAATCCATAGCATTAGAGACTAACTTACAAAATGGTAGGATATATATTCTTTCAAACTATAAAATCCACAGTTGCACTCAGTTACAGTGTTTGTATGCTACAGTACCTGAGAATTGCATAAAGCTTTATAAATCTTTTGCTTTCAACATAACATATAAATCTTAATCGTTTCAAATCTCCATTATATTAAATCGCTAAAATGAATTAAATAGTTTTCCAGTCAATTTGATACAGCATTCATCCCTAGTAATGTTTTAAAAACCAGACCGAACCAGTGGGTTGAACCCATCAAACTGTCAACCATGTCTCCACTTCAAACATATCCGGTTCAACCAGAAATCTAATTGGTTGAACTATGTCATAGAGGTCTTGCCAGTCAACCTTTGCTTTAGTTTTCAAAACATCACCTAGAAGATTGTTACCGATCTTTATCACATAAGGGTGCCTAATACCCTCAAAACTTGATGACACTTGAGGAAGACAAAAGAAAACCATCACAGTATCACAATCTGCGCCTTCAATATTTTTATGAGAATTAACACAACACTAAGAAAGTTTATGGCACTTAAACGCCCCACTTAACTAACACTCACTCACTTAGTCTATAATTAATTAATCGAGTAAACAAATTAATTACTACACTAACTAATCAGTCTAATTAATTAGTCTAACTAAACTTATTTCATTATACTAACTTATATAGTCTAATGCTAATCCTCAAAATCTAACTTACTTTAATTTATATTTATCTAATACAAAACTAACGAAGAAATTAATCAAAAGTTAGTTTCTTTATTATATGGCTCTTATCAAACAATTAACAACCATAATAAAAAATAAATAAGAAAACTAATCAAACCAAATGTTTTTGGAACATTTCCACACCCACCTCTACACCCACCAGACATGGATGGCGAAAACAAAGCACAACATATTCATTCCATAAACACGTTCATCCTAATAACAACACAGGAATGCAATCAAACAAAAATGAAAAGAAAATGTGAAAATGCAACAAAATAGGAGCAAACACGAGCAAGAAAGTAAAAACAAAGAAGGCAAAGGAGCACGCCAACCCAGAAACAGAATGGAGTAGAAAGACATTGAGTGAGTAAGAGAATAGAAAGACATTTGGGAATGGAATTGGAAACCCTAACCTTAGGAGGGGCGGCAGACTCCTAATTTTTTCGGGAGACAGAGCAAAAATGAATTGTAAGGCGCGGGATGGGTTTGGGACTCATAAAGGAAGGATTTTATTTTATTATTTACTTTCAAATTTTTTAACAATATTTTTTTAAACAAATTTTACATTAAATTATTAATTATAGTCATTTTTAACTAAGTTATTTAATTTTAGTTTTTATAATCATTTTTTTATTATTTTTATACTGAATTTAAATTTATTCTATAACAGCCCAAAATCGCTGGGCTAGAGGCCCAATTGATTGCCCGGAACGGGCTGTTTCGAAAGTGAAAAGGGCCGTTCTGGAATAAGAAAAATGCCCAAAATTGGAGAAGCAGAACAGCATGTTCTGGTTTGAGAACGAGCCGTTCTGCGGGTTTTGAGAACAAGCCGTTCTGCTTCTCCAATTTTGGACATTTTTCTTATTCCGGAACGACCCGTTTCACTTTTGGGGTTTTTAGGCCTCCTGATGTCTTGTCCTGTTATTTCCATGCTTCGGGAGCTCCTTTCATTGATAATAGACGTCCATTTCATTACTTGTATGCCGCCCCACAAAATTGGGTGTCTACAGCTTCCCCTCTTTACTTGTCCTTTGGAATAGCTATGTGTTTCTTTTCCTAAGGCAAGTAAAGACGTAGACATTTCATCCGGGTCTTCTCTTTGTTTTTTGCAAGTGTAAAATTCCTTCTTAAATTCAGTCGACTATGCAATTCATTAAAGAATTGAACAACGATAATTTGCTTTTATAGGTGATTAGACTTCTAAAATACATCAAAGACAGATTAGGCAGCTTACTGTTCCAGATTAGTAATACATGAATACACAATGTTGTTCAGAATCTGCTACTAAATGCACACATACAAAGTACAAATACACGTGGTAGCATTGAATTTGGAATTAAAATAGAGACGGGTATTGTATGAAATGATAGTGATGTTAGTGTTACATAAAAGAGGAGGGAGAAAAAGTGTTAGAGATGAGGACCTGAAGTTGAGTTTGAAGTCTGGTTCCACTGAAGTCGGAAAGAGAGGAAGCTAAGGGAGAGAAAGAAAGTTGGTTCTGTTGGAGTGCAACCACCCTTGCCATGATGATTCTTTCCACAGTGTGTGTGGACTTTAGTCCAATGAAAATGGTATGGGACAGAAATTTGAAGTGTTTTTCTTTCTTTCCCTCACCCAATTAACTAACTCCCCACCTCTTCTTTGCTTATGATAAGACAATGACCCACCTCCATCTCCATCCACAGCCTCACAATTCATCCACAAACTGTTTGAAAGAATATATTCTGCATAAATATAAATGGAGTGTACTAAATCTCTAAATCTTAATATTAGTTCAATCTATTTGTTGAGTGAAGAAACAAAACAGGCTTAATCAAGATCTCTAGCCGCAAGTAAATCCTCCGAACAGTTTCCTAAATTTTCCCCAACAACATTCGTGGTAGTTGTTTCCTTGGCTGCCTGCTCGTGAAAGAAAAGATAAGCTTCTGAATTTGAACTTTAAATCACAAAAGAAAGTGAAAAAATTAAGTGATAACTTCATCTAGCTTAAGACTGTTCCCATTTATCAAGTCAATTATTCTCCCTGGAGTCCCAACCACCACGTCCACACCACGTGAAAGTGCACTCTGCTGGGTAACATAAGAAACACCCTCGTAGACACAAACAGTGTTGAGATAAGGCGCAGATTCCTTTATCTCCTTCTCCACTTGCTTGGCCAACTCCCTTGTAGGCGCAAGCACCAAAGCTCTCGGAAGCTTACTAGACCGCCTGCAACAAAGAATCAAATGCATGACCATCAGCATGATATGTAATCATGTGTATGTCCGGATTCATGTTGGATGATCTAAAATCATGTTAAAATTACCAGCTAGTGAAATTTTAAGTAAACGTCCACATGTTGTAAGGTTTCACGTTGAGAAACTAATTTTTCAAGTCCAAAATTGATTTAACTTTGAGTTGAAACAATTCTAAATAGTTTTTCGAGTTGGATAAATAATTATTTTACTGCTAACTTGGTTTTAGAATAAAAAATCGAAACACTTAAAAATCAATTGGTGTTATATATACATAAAGCAAAGTGCAGAACATGAAGGATGATTGATTACCTGTGAGAAGGTGCAAGTTCATCTTCAGTGAGGCCTTTAATAATTGGAATCCCGAACGCCAATGTTTTACCGGTGCTGGTCTTGGCTCGAGCAATGATATCTCTGCCTTCAAGTGCAGGTACTAACACAGCTCTCTAATGATGCATAAAGAAGGAAATGAAGGTAAACATCGGTAGCGTAATGTAACCCTAACAAGTAAGAAAAAAAAGAAAAGGAACCTGAATAGGGAAAAGGTGCGTAATCCCTCGGGTGCGGAGGGTTTTGACAAGGTGCGTGGGCAAGTGGAGCTTGGAAATGTCGAGTTTGTCGGGCTTGGCAGTTTCGGAATGGGAATTTTGGTCGAAGTCGTGGTCGTTTGGGTCGAAGCCTTGGCTTAGTCCTTTGAAGGCTTCTTCACTAAGGAGGGAGGAATTGGGCGTGGCGACGATGGAAGGGACGAAGGTGGGGGTGGGCCTGAGGCCCGTTTTGAAGGTGGAGTGGCGGTGGGCTCTGACGACGTCATTTCCCTCAAGCCCCTCCACCACCACCACAAGCCCCAAACACGTCTGGAAGAAGCAGATCTAGGTCCTCCTCCTCCTCAATTTGTTCGTCTGCGCCGTCCTCTTCGTCATCTGGTTGTGGGTTTTCTCGCAGAATCAAAATCAAAAAAACAAAAGGGCTTTGGAGAACGATGGGAAGCAAAGGGTTCAGAGACGACGAAGGCGTTCTTTAGATGTGACGAGCGCGAGGGCTTTCTTTGGTGGTGGCATATGCAATCGAGGAAAGCTATTCAGTTCTACATCGGTCTTAAAGTGAACTGATGTAGATATATTTATGTTTTTTTCTTATTTACGACATTGCCACCGTGCTTTCAGTACTACATCGGTCCTCCAACAAACCGATGTAAATACTTAATATTACATCGTTTTCTTTTAAAACCGATGTAAAATACCACCGCAATTTATTTTTACATCAGTTATACTAAAACCGATGTAAAATTGGCGATGTTGATGAATCCTTTTCTAGTAGTGACTAATCCCCAAGCTTTTACACAAGGGGGCCTTCCCTAGCAGTGTATTCCATATCGTACCCTTAAAAACCTTTATGCAAATGATGCATGTCAATCAGGACTCTATGCATTCTCATATCACATTATCATGTCTCATCATCATGTCACATCATCATGTCATATCGTCATATCACATCATCATATCACATCATCATATCACATCATCATATCACATCATATTCACATAATCTCCATAGAGCACTTTAATTCATATCAAAACTTTTCTATTTACGAAAGTAGACACATATTCGTACACCTCATTCAACAAGGAATACAACAGAACAATCAGAAAGCAAACACATAAAATATTAGAAATTTTCCTGTTCCTCATAGGGTTTCCCGTATGAACCCATAGAGCACTCTAATTCATATCAAAACATTTTTATTCTCAAAATTAATCACATATTCACACAATACATTCAACAAGGAATACAATAGAGCAATCAGAAAATAAAACAGAAAACATTCATATTTTTCCTGTTTCTCATAGGATTCTCTCAAGAACTCACAGAGATCTCAAATCATACAATTATTTACATATAAAAAGAGAAATAGAAAGAAACATATATAATTGGGAAAAACCCCTCATACATGAGCATACAACAAACATAGAATTGGGGGTCAATCCCACTACCCAACATACATTCCCACACCCAGAGCAAGGTTTATCACTCCTCCCTTACCTCGATAAGCAGGAGCTGAAACTAAAGCTAGATCTTGTTGGTCAGTACTTTCTGATAGCAACTACCCTTGCATTGTGTAATTAGTTACATATGTAGTGTCATATACCCTTCATTTAGAACGGATAATATATAATATATGTATTTAACTCATAGATGACTACCCTACATGAAGAAATATTACTTAATATTTGTCTGTTTTTCATCATTTTCAAGCGTCCTTAATCAAGGTTTTAAGTGCACCAACCAAGAAGGAAGAGGATGATGATAATTGGGATCTTCTAGAAGTAGAAGCTCCATATATTTCAATTGCAGGTTCCACTTGCATTTTGTGTAGATTCTTGCATGAAAAATTACTTGGCTTATTCAATGTATATAAATAGACATTATTTTCCAGTGAAAGTCACCTATATTTTCCACCAAAATGAAGTTTACTCATTTATGCAAAAAAGAGAAACTGATTTAGTACTAATAGTAGCATTTGAAATTGATAATACTTTTATGGGTGAGCTTGAGTAATTCACTGCCTTTAGCAAGTAGCTCTTGACTGCAGGCACCCAAAAAATTTTCCCCATTGAAAACTTTCCCACTATCATTGGTACTAGTATTGTTGGTATTAGTATTACTGTTGATAGCACATTAAAAATTGATTTTATTAGGTTGAGTTAAGTCTAAGTTCAAATTTTAAAATATATTTAGTTTTGGAAAATAAAATAAGTAGAGTTATCAGAGATGACAAAAACTAATACAGATAAAGGAATAGTAACAAGTGCAAACTCTTTTAGTCAATGTTCTCCTTTTTTTGCAAACTCAGACCTTGACATGCCTGTAGTTCCCACTCCTGTTGCACAAGTTCGTGACAGGCTTCTACAAAATATAGTTGCAGCTTTAGAATATAATTCTGACCAGGCTTCTTCAAAGGAAAAGGCCCAACTAATACCTCTGATCAAGATGTTACAATGACTAAAGCAAACATTGTCTCAATTAAGGTCTCAACAAATACTAGAGGTTCCTCTATTAAGGTTAATATCTCACACATCTTTCCCTCTATTTGTTTGTTTTTCAAGTATAATTTTGTCTGCAATTTGATTTTAACTTTTGATATATCGTTGAAGTTATTGATCCAAGTAAATTTTTAAGTTTTAACTCTTAATTTTATTTTTCTTTCGTAAAACTTCACTTGAAAAAGAACTTTCACTAATAATAGTTTTTCACACACATGTACATTACATTCTCTGATCATGTTTTTTTTAGAGAAAACTAATATATCAAAATGAGAAAATTATGACTTAATGATTAAAGATAAAGAAAAAATAAAAAGATAATGATAAATCGCTAAGATATTATGTTAATAAACCCCTAAGATATTTTGTTATTTTCAATAATATCGTCTAATAGTGCAATTACATTCCATGTAGGCATCTTGATGGAACTAGGAGAGGAGATTGATGTTCCTCCACTTTGCTCCATGCTTAGGACCGAATCTCTTGAGGTAGACCTTGGATCAAAGCTTGAAACTCCTTGAAGAAATCTTCAATGGAGGTGATGCCTTAGAAGGAGGTTCGGTTACTTCCTTTGGATGAAGAAGTTTGTAGAACCTAAGCTAAGGTTTGAAGAACTTTGGAGAGAACTTAGGAGAGAAAGTTCCTCACGGTTTTGGACTCTTGAATTTGAGAGAAAAATCTGAAGATTGATTCTCATTTATGTCAAAAGTGAGTACATGTGTAGGAAAAACAAATATATAGGGGATGGTAGCTTGTAGGAGAAGTTATCCCTAACCATGGTTCATTAAGAACCATGGTAGGATTAACTTAAACTCCTACGGTTTAGCTAGCTTCTAGGAGAAGCTAAACCTTGACCATGGTTCTTTTAGGAACCAAGGTAAGGTTAAGCTAACCTTGCTTGAGTTTAGAAGCTTGCAAGACAAGCTTCAAACTCAAGCAAGAATGCTTGAAAAATTCGGCCAAGGAGAAGGAAGGAAGCTAGGCGGCCCATGGTTCAAATTGCTCCTTGATTTAATTTGAAATTCTTTGATTTGGTTTAGTTAGGTTCATCATATGATGATGAAACCTAGCTAAATCAAATCTATGAAAAATTAGGAGCAAAATGAGTCCAATATGTAAAATTTTGCCTAGGCCCAACTCTGGCCCAATTTCTAAGCACACTCCCTAGCTTTGCTAAATGTCACC